TGCTCAAATCGCTCAGTCCCTGGCTTCATCCCGGTGTGAGAAATTTGCCTGATGTTATGGCTAAGTCGCTCATCCCGCCTGCCAGCTCGGATTAGATCCTGTGATTTGTGTCAGATCAGATTTTGGAAGGTTTATTTCACACTGGTGATGTGCTGCACTCGCAAGGACAAAGGTGGCCGTGGGGGGAGAAGGAGTAGGGCAGAGAGATTTCCTGGGAAATATATATTTTCTCTTCTCTTCTCTTCTCTTCTCTTCTCTTCTCTTCTCTTCTCTTCTCTTCTCCTATCCCAATATATGCTATAAGGGTGTGGTGGTGAAATTATTAATATTTAAGATTTGAGAGGTCTGGCTCAGAAGTTTATCCTAACTGAAAGAACATTCCTTTCAAATAAAAGCTAACAGCCTCTGACTGTTTCCAACTCCTCACTTCTGAGCTAAGATAATACTGGGAGGGCTACTCCTGTAGGCCCCACCAAGAGACATCTCTCTGTATTGTCACTATATTTACTGTTTGATTCCTTCTTAGGCTTGTGGCAGTTAGCAAGCTCCCTGAGGATGGATACCTGGCTTTGCTAACATAGAAATTATTATTTTCCTCACCTCTTTTTTTTGTGAAACAATATATAGGGTGGGTCTCTGCAATCACTTGGCAGAGAACAGGGGATCAGAGGGTGAGATGCTGTCCGAATGTCCTCTATGACATGTCCTTAATGGCACTTGGGTTATTATGCACTTGGAGTCTCCAGATTCTCTGACAAGGGCCAGTCTGAGCCCTCCGCACTGATGCCACCAGCTCTGTCACAGCATTGCACCATCAGGACAGCCACAGGGAACATGAGGGACCTCACTCATGATCTCCCGTGATGCTATCTAGGTTGCTCAAGAGCAGCCACCTCTCTGGTTGGGCTCTCCTGGTTCCTCACCCAGCCGAGGGGACAGGAAGGGTCCCAAACCCTTCTTGAGCCCCCCAGAGCATCTCTGCTAAGCGCACTCAGCCAACGAATCCAGCAGCACTGTCTTCTCTCTGCCAACCCAACTCCCCAACCCCTAAACAACCAATTCCAGGTAGCATCCAGCTGGAAAGGGGTCAGTTTTGTAAACTTTAACTTGCCACGGCACCGTTGAGGTGGAAAGCAATCAAGCAGCAGTCGTGGTTCTCGGCACCCAGGGAGGATTTACGTTGCGCTGGCAGCATGATGGGCATTTTTTTAACAAACAAGTCTTTAAAAGAAGTACTTGCCAAGCATCAAAATATTTCTCAATGATATTAAGGGCCTTTAGCAGCTGTAATTTAACTGTGAAGCAAACTGATGCAGGCAAAGGACCACACAGCTGGAAATTTGTGCCGCAAAGGCACCATTTTATGGCTGTTAAGCTGTTGGCCTCTCTACGTTGTAAAGCTGTTAAACAAACACAGTCCTTGGCTCACACCACGTGTCGGTGAGGCACAGTGTTTTGGCAGGAGCGGGCTGACAGAAACAGGGGCTTTGAAGGAGCTGGGAAAAAATAGAAATAAGGAGAGAAGGAAAATTCAGGTGGAGGAGGAGATGCATGTTGGCCATCACAGCCGCGTGGTGGGAGAAGGTGGTCTTGGAAACAGAATGGGTAGGTTCACGTGGAGTTGCATCCTCCTCTGGTTTGGCATGGGCTGCGATTGCCATGCACATATGGATCCTATGCATCCTACTGCTGTCGCAGCTGGTGGTCAGTAGACACTTAAGTCACCCTCTTGCAGGAAGGTGATATTCTAGGGAAACCTAAACATGGAAGATTTGGATGATATTGATAGCTTTGAATGGGGAAATAGGTGTCCCAGGAGGATGGGCCACATGCTGCAGGCTGTGTATACTTTGCCACATATTACTATATGTTGAAGCAAGCTCCATTAGTGCCACGAGATGCTCCAAGAGCAGCCCCAGCCTGGCAAACACAGGCTGAGCCCTCTTCTTAATGGAGACATAGCAAATCCATGGGGAAGAACTAAAATACACCTGCTGAACTCAGTGCTCAAAAATTCAAAGAAATGGGGGAAATCTCCACAAAAATAAGAAGGTGCCTGGCTATTTATTATTTCCTTCCATTCTCTTCTAGTGGTCAATGCTTATTCCTCTGGCTCAGAAGCTGATCTTAGGAGGCAGGAACGGCTGGTCCTGCTGCGGGGATGTGCAGTGGGAGACGCATCCAGCTGTGCTGCCTGCAGCTGCCTGTCCAGGACAGGCAAGTCCAGATGCTGCTGCCGTGAGCTGTTTTTCTGGGTCGAAAGATGTTTTAGAACAGTGGTGACTCTTTATCATCAGGAGGGCACCAGGCAGAGGTGGGCAGGTTGATCATCCCAGGTTGGTGGGGCTGTTACCCTGTCCAAGGGTCCCACCCTGCAGTGATACTCCAGTTTCTGAAGCTTCCCAAGAAACTTTGTCCTGGCAAGAGCAGTTCTTTTGCAACCAGCTTATGTTGGGACTTACCCAATACCACCAGACTGCGTGTGTTATACTGTTTTCTCTACCAAATATTGACTGTGTGGGGCTTTCCATTGCTACCAGACAGACCAAAGACCACTAGAGAAGTTGTGGCTCTCGCATTGGCAATAAAAAGGGAAGCTGTGGTAGCATCGTTGGCCTTGCTTGCAGCATTTCCTCCTATTTTTTCCATGAAAGCTCTAAATTCTGGAGTCTAGCTTCTGTACTTTGTGGGTTTTTTTAATGCAACTTCTCAGCCATGAAGGGATGCTGCAAGGCTTGACTCTGAACAGTTGGAAAGCAATGAGCCAAGTAGCAAGAACTGGTGTTGGATGTGTCTTCATTCAGGTGGTGGTTTGTGTGGTTGCACAACTTGATCTTCTTTCAGGCCCCCTCACTGATGTGTGCCCATGTCTTAGTCCTGACAAGTGGCTGCAAAGAAATGGCTCAGTGTTAATAGGAAGAAACTAACAGGACATTTTTCACCTAGAGCTAGAAAAAATGTTCATGAGTTTGTTTCCCACTGATTTTGGGTGATCCATTTTGAGGAGACGGGCTAGAAAATTATTGCTGCTGCCAGGTGAAATTGGTTTTTTTCCCTCCCTGATGGACGCAGCTCTGCTGTGTGCATTTTTTTTTTTTCATCTAAAAGCAGCCATTTTGATGAGAAGTGGGTGAACGTCTCCTGGATGAACCCAAAATCTGCCAGCCTTGCACGTCCTCTTGCTAAGTAATTTGCTGCTCTGCTGCATTTGGAAGATTGCACTGAAGTTGCTTTCCTGGCATCTGGAGCCAGTTTGAGAATTAGTGCAAAACTAATTTGGTTACAAATCTCAAACACACCAACAAAAGCTATTTTTAAGCCTTTGAGAAGTACACTGCAAATTAGACAATTCAGAGAAAATATCACAGGGGTTTCTTATCCTTATTTCAGCCATCAAATTCTCCAAAACTGCAGGATCCTGGTGCAATTGGGTGGCTGAGATCTAGCATGTCCCATCACCAACACACAAAGCTGTGATCACCTCCCAGGGAGCATCATGGAGGTCCCATGGGCTCTCTTGGCTTACTAAAGGTGTTTGTGGCTGTTGGTTCTTCCTTCTTAGGGACATCATGTGCTTCCTCATGCCCCAACCTCTCATAATCACGTGAACCCCAAAACTGGTGATATTTTTAAAAAATAATTAAGGTAAAGCTCATAAAACAAGCAAATATCCATGGCTGGGGCAGTATAGTGGGAATCACATCCCCTCCCTTGGTGTCCTTTGGCGCAAACTGAGGTCTGCATCAGATAATGCAGGAGCGCTGGCGATACCCCACATCACCCCGCTCATCCGCCTGGGCCGTACCCAGCCCACGTTGTTTGTTCACCTCTCAAACCTTCACTGCCTTCAAAGGGAGCCTGAACAAGCTCAGATGTTTTAAGGACTACGCTTAGATGTAGTCCTTCTCTTCCATACGCTGTGGGAGCCGAGCTCTTTGCAAGGCAGCATAGCTCTGCGATGGGGAGCAGCTCAAAGTGGTCCCTCACCCTGTGCATCCCTCCCAAAGGTGTCAGGATGCTCGTGCAGAGCCCACCCCCAAAAATAACCCCTCCAGCCCATGGGATGGGGAGATACACCTGCACGATTCTCTGTGTGATACAAGTCATAGCATTTAGCACATTATCGTTGTGGCTATTCCCCCTCCTGTGGGCTCCCAACTGCATTTGGCATGGGGAAAGCAGAGAGGCCGCAGCTCCCAGTGCCAGGGCTGATGGCTGACATTTATTTTGCCAGTTTGCTTCAAACACCGTAAACCCCTGTGTCCGTTCCCCGGGTGGTTTGGCTGGGGGCCGCCGTTGGCAGTACTCAGAAGAATCAATGATAACCTTTTCCTTTGCTAAGGAGTTTCCTACGTACCGGGTAGCAGAAGATGCTGAAAAACAAATGAAGCTTGGATTCTCCATGGGTCTCCCTGGCATTATTCCTGATATTTAAAAAACCAAACCAGTTCCCCGTTGGTTTTATTAGCCTTTCTATCCTGGCATTTAAACAGAGTTGGGATTGGCGCGGTCGGTATCTGCAGACACACGCTGTGATGCTTTCAGGGGTTTCTCTGAAGGGCACGATACCCAGGGCGCTGTGTCCGAAGCACCTGAGCTCCTTCGAGCTGCTGGAAGGCATTTCAGCACTGCAATTGCTGGTAATGCCGCCCCACAGATTATCTCGCATTAAAGAGCGAAGGGTATTTGGGTCCTGGGAGCGCAGCTGGGCCGTGGGGTAGGAGCAAAGTTGCTCTAAGCCTCAAGACTGGCACTTCTGCATCTTAAGCTACAATGATATTTCCGTATTTAATTCTCTTGGATAACCAGTGGGATTTGAGTATTGAACTGAGCTGAGTTTGTGCACCTCTTGCAGGGATGTCCTGAACAGCATTCTAGAGCATCCCAGGGCAGAAAGGTGTCATGTCCATCTGTGCCACCCTGTGCCTGGCAGTGGTTTCTTGGCCCTCACAACTTGACCGATGGGGTTCATGCTTCCTCTCTTCTTGGTTTCAGGCATGGAAGAAACGCTGGTTCGTCCTGCGCAGCGGTCGGATGAGTGGCGACCCCGACGTCCTGGAGTACTACAAAAATGACCACTCCAAGAAACCTTTGCGTGTGATCAACCTCAATTTCTGCGAGCAAGTGGACGCAGGCCTGACTTTCAACAAGAAGGAGCTGCAAGACAGCTACATCTTTGACATCAAGACTAGTGACAGGACCTTCTACCTGGTGGCTGAGACCGAGGACGACATGAACAAGTGGGTTCGCAGCATCTGCCAGATCTGTGGCTTCAACCAGTCTGAGGAGAACACAGGTACCGTGAGAGCTGTGTCCGTGGCCAAGAGCATCTCCTGTCCTGTCCTCACAACAGGGTCCGGCTCCTCTTTCAGATCAGACCTGTGGGAGGGGGGTGCAGCCCACCACAAGGCTGGGAGTGCTGGAGTGGGGAATGGATGGACACTTAGGAAGCCTCCATGAGGCTTTCCTACCTTTGACATCTTGAAGCAGGGCAGGCTTTGCCCCTGTGAGCCACCTAATTCATTTTTACCCCCCCGTAACTGTAGACCTTTGAGTGTCTTACAAGAAGTTGGTGCGGACTGGGGACTTTTTTAGCTGCAGCCTCTGTCCTCATCCATCACCAAAGTCCCACTGAGAGTCATGGGAACCAGCAGTGAAAATCCCCCTCATTCAGAGGTCTCAATCCCTTGGTGGAGTAGGGGAGATTTACTGGGACCATGTCCCTCACTGCTGTGGTTGTCCCCACTGCTGACAGGCTCTCATGTGAAGAACAGACACGTCTTCCCCACCTGCATCCCCATCTCCTCCTGGGACCCACTGGGAAAATGCTGGGAGGGGAGAGGAAAACACCGGGAGGTTTTGTGCAGCGGTGGGACCTGTTCCACCGGTCGTGCTCCACCATGCAAACTGAGTTGCACTGTGGCAAGCCTCTGCGGTGAGCACCGGGGAGCTGCCTCCTCTTCCCCGGCACCATGAGGGCTCACATAAATCCGAGTGAGATGGGATGGGGGGGGGTGAGCATGGGGTGCAGCTCTGCAGTCACCCACCAGTCCCATTACATCTGGTAGCACTTCTGGGCATCTTTGCTTTATCTCATCCATGGTCCCGTCTCATCCAGGGGACTCCAGTCCTGTGCTCGGTCTAGATGAAACTCCCCATAATAACGTCCAGTTTGAATCTGTTTTGCTCCGTCGCAGAGCAGCTGCCATCCGTGGGAGCTGAAACCCTGCCAAGAGCTTGTCAAGCAGGACAGCAAACAAAGCATCACAGCAGCGCGGATGCGTTCTCCACCAACTGACGCATGAAACGGGACGTCACCTTGGCAATGGGCGTACAAGTGGTAGAAAGGATCCTTGATAACACTGCCAGCGCGGTCTTTCAGGGAAAGGTCAGGCTAAATAAATTACATCCCGTTCCGATGTCAGCAGCGCAGTCCTCGAGGTTCAGTGAAATTGTTCAGGCCTCTTTTTTAAGAGCTGTTTTGCTGGAGGATTTTCCATTTCACGTACATTCAGCTGGGGGAACTGTTTTTCTTCCCATTTAGTAAAATGAGCTTTCAGCCCAGCAGCAGTGGGATCGATACTGGACTTCAGTGAAATATAAATCTGGGCAGCAAAAGGAAAAACAATCTGCCGCTTGCAAGTACATCTGTCCCAAAGGGCACATAGGGCTCGTCAGGCTGCAGAGATCCGAGCCCTATTCCCTGCAGGATCATGGAGTGACATCAGCAAAAGAGGAACAAAAATCCCTATTTGTAACAAAATCACAGCTCGTTAATGGTGTAGGGAAAGTACCCACTTGAAACAGTACCCAGCTGCCAAAGCATGGTTTTCTGAGTCAGCTGAGAAACAGCCTGCAACGGCGAATGCAGCAGATGTGTCCAGATGCTGCAGAAAAAAGGGAGCATGAATTATTCAGGGCTGGTTCTTCACTTTGGTGCTTACTGAAGCAGTGACCCCACACTCACCTTTCCTTCACCGTCCCTGCTAAGTAATGGCAAATAAATCATCAATTTCCCAAAGCAGATGATGTTTGTTTGAAGGACCCACGGCCCGAGGCTGGGCAGAGAGGTTGAGGGATCACTGCAGCATGATGGCTATTGGGAGTCTTGTCCATCTTGGAGTACATAAGCCCATCCTTCATATGTGTCAGCTGGAGGGAGAAATAAAACAGTCGTAGCAATATTTGTAACTGCTGTGTTCCCTGTTCATCACCTCCTTGAAGCCATGGGTTGATGGATGGGAGAGTATGAGAAGTTTGCATGAGATTAAAAGAGTTCCTGGGTAGAAACAGAGCTTGAGACATCTGGCATTTCTTTCTCAGATCTTCACCCCCTCATCCTCAAGCCTCTCTGTGCCTTGTAGCCTCTGCCTTGGAGAATGAATGAGTCAGTAATTGGATGCACTAAAAAGGGGAGGAAAAGGTAACCATCATGGGCAGGAATAGCTCCATGCTAATTGTAGCAATTAATTAACTAAACCTCCCTCTCCCAGCAGACAGGCAGTGTGACGGAACGAGATCAGAAACTGCTGGGGAAGCCACTGTGCACATTTTTCTGGTTGTGCTCGTTCCTGGGTGCGTGACTGCTTTATACTGACCTGAAAGCCTTGCTGGGTCCAGCCCCAAAGCTGGGCTGTTTTGGCTGGGTTATATTCACATGCCAGCCAGGGAATCGCTCCATCACTCGCAAAGGTGATTACTACAGCTGCCATCACATGCTGAATTACCTCCTTCTTGAAGGGATACCCCACATCAGCTGAGCCCCAGCCACTGGTCACAAGTTTGCTTTTAACCCACCGGTGGTGGAGGAAAAACTCATTAGCTTTGGGGCAGTTTGGGTAAAAGCCTATTTCAGCAGCTCCCCATGATGGTAGGGAAAAGACAGGTTTTCAGTTGCTTTTTAGCACAATTTACTGAGTAAATGGGCAACCCGAAAGCAGCTGCACGTGGCGATGCAAACTGGCTGCAAACCCCCTGCACCAGCTTGGGACCATGCTTGGGTGCTGCCCGTGCTCCCAAAAGGCAAAAAAAATTAAAAATCCAAATGAATTTATACCCTTTGATTCTTCATTCTGTTTACAGCTCAATGGAAGAGTGTAAATTTTCTGTCGCTTGGTTTTCACATTAGTCCTTCATGTCCTGTCTAGACTGGGGGACTCTAAGGATTAAGAAATAGGATGGAGTTTAGGCGTTTTAATGTCATGCTGCGGTTAGCTGCTGGTTTAGCTGATCGCCAGCTGCATTACACATCTGGTTCATTGAAAGGAAGCTTGTTTCAGCCTCAGGGACCTAAATGTCAGTGAAGCGGCAGGTACCGCCGGCTGCCCCAGCACCGCCGAGGAGCAGCCGCTCCGCAAAGACGCCGTGGTGGCTTTGTTCCCCACCCCGACCTGAAAATAATTGCAGAGTGGTGTGATTACATCTGCTGGGAGAAGGGAAATTAAATTGACTCTAAGGTGTTTACCCAGACTGTGGCAAAGCTTTTTGTTTCTGTTTACACCTATTTACTTTGAGAGCTAATTACTATTTTTGAACAAGGGGAGCCTTGCAGGATCCTGGCTCCTCTGCGGGTCCAAGCAAGGCGATGGTGCTCAAGGAAAGTAGATTTGCTCCTGGCTCAGCGCTGCTTTTACACTGCAATTTGCACTGGTGCTACCTCGGCTGACTCAAATACGATGCGGGGAGACCTGCCGGGAACACTGAGCCACAGGCTGCGGGAGAAACGCAGGCGCGTGGGTATTTCAAACCATCTGCATTTTCCCTGCCCTAGTGGGCAGGCAGCCAGGGCTAAGCTGTGAACTGGATTTTCTCATATGCTTTGTTTGTTGGAGTTAGAAAAAATACCAAATCCCACTAAACATATTTTGTGTGCCGTTAACCCTTTCTGGAGCTGATGCTTCAGCCCAAACCCCGCCTTGTCCCATTCCCAATATGACAGAGGTGCAGCTACGGCAGCGTATAATTTAATTTCTAGTGAACCAATGTATGTCCTTGCAGTGAGCATGTCCTTGCAGGGGTCCTATGCACAAGTTAGTTATTTTGGAGGGGTCATACCTTTATTAACTCTATCCCAATTTACTGTGCCACCCCCAGCACCTCCATGGAGCTCCTTTTCCACCTCCTCCGTGGGGCAGGGGCTTTCTCAGGGGCTCAGATTTGTGAGTGCGGAGCAAACACCTGGGGGGAGTTTAAGAGTTTATTTATGCATGGCATTAATGCTAGAGGTTTAGCCCAGCTATGAAGCGGGGAAGGGAGTAGTTGCCGGGTGAGTAAATGTCCTTGTTCTGAGCTTGGAGAGGGTGGACGGGGCGTGAGAAAAGGATGGTGCTGGGCTCCTGCCCCAATGGGTTGTGTCTGGCAGCAGTGGCCTTCCCCACCCAGCCCAGGCATGTCGTCTTCTTTTTTTTCATCTGGGACTTTATTTCTTGTATTTATTTCTCTGCTTTCTGCCAAGGGGCTGTGCCAGGGCAGTCCCAGGCTCTGGCTCACTCCTTGCTCCATCTCCAAGGCTCAGCGCTGGCATTTTGCGTCACAGCTGGGATCGATCTCCAGCAATCCCAAGGCTTTTACTGTCTCACTGAACGCAAGTCAGGGCCAAGCATCAATGTTTAATGGAGAGCTGAGTGTCTCTCCTTCCTCCTTTGACACAGCCATGCTCACTCCAGCAGAGTTTACCAGATCAGCCTTTGGACACCAGTCACTTTCCACTTACATTGATGAGAGCTCCTATGCCCCACGTACATGGTCTCTACTGAGGATCTCTTCGGCTTGATGCTGCCCCAGACCCTCCACTGGTTGCCCCCTTCCAGCCCATGACAGCAAATTTATTGGTTTAGTACCCACTTGACTTGCTTTGGCTGGGAGTCCCATATGGGTCACTGGCTGGTTGCTCCCCAACCTGCTGCCTGCTCACACAAGCTGCCTGCAAGTCTGTGCTATGAGCCCATATGGCTGCTTTTGCTCCCTCCTTCCTTCTCCCCCAAAAACCTGTTGGTCCCAGCATCAGGCCAGCAATGCCCCCCACCCCATCAGTTCCTTGCAGCCAGGTTTGCATGAGTGTTTGCCGAGCAAAGGGAGCTCAAGGTGGGCTGGAGAAAAACCATCACAAAGATACCCCTGAAGACTTGTTGGGAGGACAGGAGCTGCCCAAAAACTCAGTGAAGAGGCTGCAGGTAGCAAGACTAGAGTAAACATATACGTTTGCATGTCATACACCACCCACCTCCCCCAAATCATCGGTGTTCGCCATCCCTGCACACAGGAGTGGGGCACTGGGGAGCTCACAGAAGGCAATGG